ATGCTTTTCTGATAGTTGTTGTTGTATGCGAACTCGACTAACGGAAAGTGATCCTCCCAACTACCCTCGAGGTCTATCACGTAACATCTAAGCATGTCCTCCAAAATCTAAATAACATGCTCGGACTAGCCATCAGTCTATGAGTAAAAGGCGATACTGAAATGCAGTCAGGTACCCAGGCCTCATAAATTACTTTAAAAACTCGACGTGAATCACATATCTCTATTAGAGATAATAGACTTCAGTACTCTAGGTAATCTCACTATCTTCTAAACGTATAGCGTAACCAACCTCTCTAGGGTAAAATCCACACGAACTGGAAGAAAATAGGCGAATTTGGTTAATATGTCGACCACTACCTAGATCGTATCGTGTCTCCTTCGCTTCATCGACAACCCCGTAATAAATTCCATGGTCATTATATCCCATTTTCATTGCGAAATCTGAACGGGCTGAAGCAAACCCAATGGAACTTGATGTTTTACTTTTACTTGTTAACAAGCCAAACACATAGACACAAACTCATATATCTCTTTTTTCATTCCCGACCACCAATACAATTGTCGAAGGTCTTGATACATCTTGTTTTCTCTGGGATAGACTGAAAACATACTATAATGCGCCTCGCCGAGGATCTTGGTTCGCAACTCCTTGCTTGATGGAACACACAAACGACCATAGAAATACAATACATCACTCTCTCTCAGCTCAAAACCATACACCTCTCCTCATCGAGTTTGTTCGCTTCTAACTAGCAAGCAATCATCTGTTCTTTGAAGTTCTCTCAATTCTTTGACCAACTCAGGTTCCACTTGCAACTCAGCTAGTAAACCACCATCGACGATCAGACTCAACCGCACAAGCAATGCTATGAGTTCAGATATTATCTTTTGACTTAAGGCGTATGCAACACATTCGCTTTAATTGGGTGGTAATCGATCACACAATCATAATCCTTAAGCAACTCCACCCAACATTGTTGTCTTAAGTTTAACTCATTTTGTGTGAGAAAATACTTCTTACTCTTGTGTTCGGTAAAGATGTAGCATTTTTCTTTGAAGAAGTAATGTCTCCAAATCTTCAGAGCAAAAATCATGGCTGCTAATTCTAAATCATTAGAGGGGTAGTTGAGCTCATGCGGTTTAAGCTGTAAGGATGCATACTTAACCACTCGCCCCTCTTGCTTCAACACACAACCCAAAACCTTTAATAAAGTATTGCTAAATGCGTTATAGTCCTTACCTTACTCCGCCTGGGTCAACACTAACGTCTACATCAAAATCTCTTTTAGCTTGTCGAAATTTTACTGGTGCTTATCATCCCAAGAAAATGATACTCCTTTTTGCATCAACTTAGTTATCGGAGCAATGATCATAAAAAACCCTTTAACAAATCTGCGGTAGTATCTTGCAGGCCCTAGAAAGCTATGCACCTCTAATACATTCCGCAGTGATTCCCACTCGACTACTGCTCGAATTTTCTGAGGATTGATTTTTTTAAAAAACAATATTCTAATCGGATCAAGTTGGATTATATAGGAAAATACATCGGGTTCATATCATAGTTGAGTTTAGAGTAAAACAAATTTGATCCGATATAATTATAAAATAATATTTACAAAAAATTCATCACATATATCAGGAACGAATCTACATGGTGCTTGGGAGGGGCAGCCCCTCCCAAACTTTTTGGTATAATGGCATTTTAGGTCATTTTTATTTTAAATATTAGTTAAATAAGTCTTTGTCTCCCTAATTTTTAGATTTAAATATTTAATATATTATTTTTTCTTTTGATATAAAACAATTTTACCCCCTTAACATTTGATATTGATTCCGTCCCTGACGTATATATATATATATATTATTTAGGGTTTTAGTTCCAACTTTCTATTTCATTTCCTCACCTTTCTTTATTTCGCTCTTGTGCTCTTTCTTCTTTTTCTTTAATATTTTTTTATTCTTAATTCCTTTTGTTTGTTTTTTTTTCATTGTTTTTATTTTTCATTCATACTTGAGAAGTTTGTTTTCATCGTCTGCATATTCCATCTCAATTTTGCAATAATATTTTGAAGGTTTTATAAGATTTATAAGGATTTCAAAATTTAAATGAAGATTCAAGCATTACATTTAGAATATTATTTATGGATTAATTTTTTCTCTTGATTTTTGGGATTATTTTTAAAAATCTCATATTTTTTATAATTTAATTTTGCTTTTGGTTTGCTTTATTTTTAGGTTCATTTTTATGTTTAACTTAGTTTTTGGTTTGTTTAATTTTTAAGTTTGTTTTAAAGTTCGTTTTGTTGATAAAAAATTGAAAAATAATAAGAAAATAAGGGAATAGATGAAAAAATGAGTGAAATTTAAAATTTAACGTGTTAAAATAGGATTAAATCAGTTTTTTTTAATTTAAATTTTGGATCGGTGTCATATTAGATGAAATTTTTTAAAATTGAGTTCGGATCAAGTAATACATAGAGAGTATTACTCTTCAAGTCCAAGTTGAATAGGTTAAAAATCTGATCTGACCCTACTTATATCCATCTCTGATATGAAACAGGCATTTGCGCCTACTCATGAGGTATAGTATTTGTTTCAGTAGATATACTCTTGACACTTAAATTTTTATACGACTCTTAAATGTTAAAGGGTAAAGTATATAATAATCTTCGATTATAGAGTGATGCTTTGTTAAGTCTCCTGAATTATTAAAAGGTATAAAATAATAGCTCGACTATTCATATATTTCAAACTCATATTATTCATTAAAAAATTGATGACGGTCTGAGTTGAATGTTAACTTGTTGACTATGATATGATAATTTTTTATCCTAAAATCTCAAACGACTATGATATCTCAGCCATCGTGTTAACATCCATCTCAAACAACCGTCAATTTTTTTTACGAGAAACGACGAGTTTGGAACATAATAAATAATTGGTTGACCATTTTGTAACTTTTATTAGTTGAAGGACTCAATAAAAATAATATTCTATAATCAAAAGATCATTTTGTAACTTTTAATAGTATAAAGGCTTAACCAAATAGTACCTTATAGTATAAGAGTCATTAATATACTTTACTCAAATTTAATTGACATCCATTTCGATTATAATTTAATTCAAAATATATTCTATTCCAGAAACCAGTATGGGTAACTCTAAAGTAAAGATGGAATACATAATCAATAGTACATAGTAGGAATGGGTATTTGACCTGAACTTGATAAGTTTTGATCCGACCTGATTTTACAATATTAATTTTTTTAAAAATCTATTCAGATCGAATCAGATTATATAGGAGAGTACGCCGGGTTCATATCAAAGTCAAGTTTAGAGTAAAAAAAATTATCCGGTATAATTATAAAATAATATTTAAAATATTTACAAAAAGTCCATCACGTATATCAGGACGGATCAACATGGTGCATGGGAGGCCGCTGTTGCCCCTCTCAAACTTTTTGATATAATAGCATTTTATGTCATTTTTAGTTTAAATATTAGTTAAATAAGCCATTTGCCCACTAAATTTTAGATTTAAATATTTAATAAATTATTGTTCTTTTGACGTAAAACTATTTTGTCCCCTTAACATTTGATCCACTCCGTCCCTGACGTATACATATTATTTAGGGTTTTAGTTCCAACTTCTATTTCATTTCCTCACCTTCCTTTCTGTAGCTCCTCTGATCTTTTTTGTTTCTCTTTATTTTTTTATTCTTCATTTCTTTTGTTTGTTTTTATTTTTCATTCACACATTGAGAAGTTTGTTTTCATCGTCTACTTTTACTGTCTCATTTTCGCAATAATATTTGAATATTTTATAAGGATTTATAAATTTGAACGAAGTTTCAAGCATTGCATCTACGATATTATATATGGATTACATTTTTCTTCTTCTTAATTTTGGTGTTGTTTTTGGGATTATTTTAAATATATCATATTTTTCATAGTTTAATTTAGGTTTTGATTTGCTTTATTTTTAAGTACAATTTAATTTTTGTTTCATTTTTATTTTTAACTTAGTTTTTAGTTTGTTTTTTTACGTATGTTTTGTTGATAAGAAAATTGAAGAAATAATAAGAAAATAAGTGAATAGGTGAAAAAAAAGTGATTTAAAATCTAACGAGTTGAAATAGGATTAAATCAGATTTTTTTTAATTTAAAATTTATATTAATACCAGGTCAGAATTCGATAGGTTAAAAATCTGTTCCGACCAAACTTATATCTATCCCTAATATGGAGCCGGTTAAAAGTCTGATCCGACCCGACTCATATATATATATATATATATATATATATATATTGCAGCCCGACTCATATCTATAGCAGGCATCTACCGAGGTATTGTATTTGTTTCGGTAGATATACTCTTAACACTTGAATTATATTTTTTATTTTGATCATTTAATATTAGAAAATAATAATAATATTAATGTGTAATCATAAGATGATAACACTTTAAAATAATAATAATAAAAAAACTGCATCTATTAATTTTTAAATATAATAATAAAAATATCACGTCTGTTATTTTAGATATGATTTTTCAAATAAATAGTTAAACAAAATTGATAATTAGGGTAAACGAATAGTTTACTCGATAATTAATTAAATTTTTATAATTTTTTATTTAGATAAATTAAAAAGGAAACAAATCGATTTTTTTATCAGTTTACTGAAGTTTTCCTTTAGTCTAATATATCATATTTAAGTTAAATTTTTAACATGACATATTTTAATTATTACGAAATTTATTTTTTCCTTTTTTTGTTAAGTAAAAAAAATTGTAGGGTTTATATGCATTAGAAATTCTTTTGTCTCCATCTCGTCATAAGAAAGAAACAGTGATCTCATATCATCTTAACAGTGAAACAGAACAAACCCCTTTTACTGATCATTAATTTTTTTCTGCAGAGGAACACTTACACAGTGCTAAACAGCATGAAGAAGCACAACTCTTGCTAAAATCAGAGAGATAATACCATTGTAAAACTTCATACACTAGGGTTTTTAGAGAGGAGGAGGAGAGAGGAAAGGGATGAGAGGAAAGGGATGGGAGGAAATGGGAAAGGAGGTAAGGGAAAACCGGCAAACGGAGGACCGCTCGGAACTCCAAAGGGCGGCGTAAACGTCAACGGTGGCAGCTGAAGCGGTGGCGTAAATGGCATGTCCGGGAAGGAAAAGGGAAAAGGTGGCAAGTTCTTCATCTCCCTATAGTCACTCTTAGCATCCTCTTCCTTCCCCACCACCACCACATCCGCTGCCGCTGGTGGCGTCGTCCCGAGCTGACGAGGGAGAGCTGCGTCGCTCCGGACGAACAGAACCAGAACCAGAACGAGGCTTGAAGACAGCGAGCTTCCAGTATTTTTGCGAACCATGACTGTTCACTGCTAAATTTCATGTCCATTTTGGTTTATATAGAGGGGATAAAGTTGCCATTAATGAAAGCTGTGATCTTGATGATCGTGCCGTGGAAACAATGTATTCAGATTTTCAATGCACATAGTAAATATTAAGAGTTGAAATGCAAGAAAGAGAAGAGGGGTTGAATTTTGAAATGGGCGAGTGCAGTGCCATTTAAACCGATTACAGTGAAAAGCAAACGTAAGTGCTGTAATATCTCAACATGCAGTTTGCATGCTCATTCCCACCGTTTGATCATTAAATCGGACTGGCTGCATCAGAGCCTTAACTACATCCTCATTGCCAACAAAATCTTAACTCATTTGCTAATTAAAGAAATGAATTATCTTTTATTATAGGATAAATTACTTCAATGATCGCCTAATTTAATGGAAGTATTAATTAATTATATATTTTATCCTAATATTTATACATTTAACTAATTTGATATTATTTTTTATTTAATTTAAAGAGGATATAATATATATTTTTAAGGATTGAACTTAGGAGCCTTGGTTGGAAGAACAGCGCCCAAGCCAATGGGACCAAATCTACCTAAAACATCATTTTTTGACCGGATTTTTTTACCGCGTTTACCTATATAGGTAAAATTATAACCAGTCAAAAAATAATGATGTTTTCGATCATTTTTACCGGTTTTGTTATTTAAAATAATAAAAAAACCGATAGCACCTTATTTCAGCCGTATACTAAGGCACCGCACGTGATCGTTTCCCCTAAGAATAGGTGTAACTGGTTAAAATGTTGATAGGCTAAAAACTGAACACAAAGTCTTATAATTTGAAACTGAAAAAGTTATTCGTCAGAGTAACATAATAGGTTATACCTATAGTAAAAAAATAATTATAAATAGTAAATGTTATGAATATTTTTAATATTTTAGGTTGTACCTAAAATGTTACCAGAGTTTAAGCTGATGAGACTTTAAATATTCTCACGATAACAAAATAAATTAAAAGTTAGAAATATTATGAATATATATAAGAAATCCAGTTGCGCCCAAGAATGATATGGTTCACGAAGGAATATGTTGCAATCTAAAATGTTAATTTTCTTTATAATAAAATCGATTACGCCTAAAATGTCACTAGAGTTTAAGCTGATGGGGCATTAGTAATTCACACAATAATAAAATAATTTAAAATCTGAAAATGTTATGAATATTTATAAGAAATCCAGTTGCACCCAAGAATGTTATAGTTCCAAGAAAGTAGGTTGCAATATGAAATGTTAATTTTCTTTGTAATAAAATCGGTTGCGCCTAAAATGTTACCAGAGTTTAAGCTGATGAGGCCTTAGACATTCTCACGATAACAAAATAAGTTAAAAGCTAAAAATTTTATGATAGTCGATACTTTTTTATATTGAAAAAGTTGATGAAGATGATCGATAGTTAAAATATTGATACATATATTATGATATTCGATACTTTTTCATTTATATCGATACTTATGATATGATAATTGTGGAAAAATTTGATACTTTGCAGCGTTCTCATTTTACATTTTTTTAATTTTAAAGTATCGATATTTGTGGAAAAGTATCGAAACTTTACAGCCTTCTCATTTTTCATGTTTAGTTTAAATTCGAAAGTATCGATATTTATGAAAAATATCAATACTTTGCAGCCTTCTCATTTTTTTATGTTTTCTTAAATTCGGAACTATCGATATTTGTGAAAAAATATCGACACTTTTCAGCCTTCTCAATATATAAAAGTATCGATCATCATTGCATAAGTATCAATATTTTAAATTTCGATCTTTTTATCATTTTTTTAATATTTAAAAGTATCGATCATTATCGCATAAGTATCGATCATTATCGGATAAGTATCGATATTTAACTTTTTATCTTATCTTCAACTTTTTCAATATTTAAAAATATCGACCATCATATATTAAGTATCGATATTTAAAATTTTGAATTGTTTTCTAAATTTTTTTATCTCAATTCACTCTGAATAAATATCGATACTTCTTAATCGATAACATTCTTGGGCGCAACCGGATTTATTATAGGCATTCATAATATTTTTAGATTTAAACATATTTTGTTCAAAGTTAAAGTAACATTTTAAGCACAACCAAATTTATTACACAAAATATTAACAGATGCAACCGGAAAGAAAAATACTTACAAATATTGAATTTTGATTTAAAATTTGAAATAAAAAAATTTGTTAGGATCAAAGAGGCTCAATTTGAATAACCGAAAAATGTACAAGGGGGTGAATTGGCAAATATTGTTTATGGAGTAAGGAGAAAGAAAGGATAAACAATTGTTGTACATCGATTTATAGTGGTTCGACTTATCAACCAAGTCTACATCCACTACCTAAGCTCCTCACTTAGGATTTTCCAACAAATCCACTAATTTGTTCTTTCTTTTTCGAAAATCAAGAGTAACCTTTACAACTCCCTATATTTTCAATTGGCTAAGATAGAACCAAAACCCCTTAACAAAAGGATAAAAGAAGTAAACAAAGAAACCACTCTAAGGTAGGTGTTTACAAATTAAAAGCTCACAATAACGAACTATTTACAAGAGAATATGAATAAAGAATGAAAATGTAATATCCCAAACAACGGGTCAGTGACTATAATGTAAAGATTTAAAATTTGGTGGTTTAATTTGAATAAATTAAAAAGTACAAGGATTGATTTAGGAAATTATGGTTAAGATTAGTTATTAAGGATGGAAGATTGGAGGGATATTATGGTCCTTTAGAAGGAAATAAATTTATTATTCATTTATTTTAGATATATTTATTAAGTGTTGAATAGGGGAAAAAGGATAATGTTGAAACTTTGGGTTTCTAGTCTTCTTCTTCTTCTCTTCCCCGTAACTCCATAGCAAAGGTAAGATTTCTTCAAGTTGGTTTTTCCTTTCATTTTTTGTTGGTTTTGAAGCCATAAGTGATATAAAAACTTAAGGAAAGCTTAAGAGTGAATAAAACTAAGAGATTAATGATTTATTAGAGATTTAATAAAAAGAGTTTTAAGTGATTTGATGAAATATGGTCAGAAAATGGAGTTTAAAAACATATTTGACTTGTCAAAAATATAAATAAGAGATTTGGATCCTTAGAAGTGATTAAAAACATGTTTAAAATTTTAGTGTGATTTTTAGTTTTTTCTTTAGATATTTTGGATGTTATAAGGAGATTTTTGGATGTAAGTTACTTGGGTTAAGTGATGATGAGTTTAATGGTATGGGTGGAGATAAGAGTAAGAGATTAAGGGAAATTTGGGTAAAAATCGAAGTAAAATATGTAAAATATGGGTATGGGTATAAGTACTGGAAGAACATTATCGATACTATAAGGTTAAATTGGAGGAAAGAGGATGGACTCAATGATCAATATCGATATTGATTAAAGTAATATCGATACTGATACGTAGATATCGATACCAAGAGGAAGGTATCGGTACTGTAATTGAAAAATGGATTTCCAGAATGCAAAAATGGTATCGATACAGAATTGGGTATCAGCACCATAGAAGAGAAGTATCGATATTGTAGGAGGGGTACCAATACTATTCAGTCTGAAATTCTAAGTTAAGATTAATTTTAAAAGAATTCAGAAATAATGGTACTTTTGAGTATTAATATTTTGTATAAATGTTAGTAAGGATACTAACATTGTATTTTATATTTGTATATGTGATTATGGATGCTTGTGTAGTTCGTGATCAAATTTGTGATACAAGCAAACCAAAAAGGCAAGGAAAAAGTTCAAGAATAGTTGGACTTCTTCAATAAGGCATAATATTGAGGCATACCAGGTGAGTGCATATATTATGCACTTATATGATATGAGGATGACTTGCGATGAGTCAACCTCGAATGTTTTGATAAAAGTATCTTTTATAGTATTTTGAAATATTTTCATAAAGTTTATGGAAATGAGTTTACAAATAATTTTAGAGTATGAACTGCTCTATAATAAATGGATGAACTTTTTATATTGTTTTAACAATTGTCGATGTTTTAAAAATAAATGTTTAATCTGTGAATTTGACTTAAATGCCCATTGTATGTGCATTGAGAGTCATATGTGCATTTTGACATACTTTGTGTATGATTGTTATCGATCGATTTTTTTAATTCATATGTTGAATTTTCGTATCAATACTATATGTACTTTAGGCATTATGTCTGCATTAATGGAATTCATAATAAGTTTGTGAATTACCATTTCAGCACTATGTGTGGATCCATGGAATTAATAATGAGTTTGTGAATTACGATATCAACACTCGACATACTTTGTGTATGATGATTATTGATCGATTTTGTTTAATGCATATGTTGCATTTTCGTATTAGTGCTATATGTACTTTCGACACTATGTATGTATCCATGGAATTCATAATAAGTTTGTGAATTACCATTTCGACACTATGTATGCATCCATGAAATTCATAATGAGTTTGTGAATTACCATTTTGACACTTAGGTGGAACGCATGTACCTTGCATTCTCATTCAACATACATTGGGCAAATAAAAGGATAAATTGGAAAAATACTAATTGATAGGTATGTTGGGTATACTAAATATTGTTTCGCATGTTATGTGAAAGAAACTTGGTTTACCAAGCCAATTTTATGTATTATTATGATTTATATGATTTAATTCATATTTGATATTTTATGTTATACTTATGTTTTGGTTACACCTCATTTGTATTATTATTATGCCTCATTAAGTATATACTTAGCATGTAATGATTTTCACGTGTAGGTAAAAGCTAGGATTAGAAGTACAGAGCAACTCCAAGCATCAAGGAATATATCTACAATATTAGTAAGACATCCTTTGATGAAATTTTGACTTAATTTAGTGGCATGTACTTATGAACGTCCTATTAGATCTATTTAACTATTTTGGAAAATGGTTTGTAATAGATCAACTGAATCGTTTTATATTATTTTAAATATGGATAATATGAGCCATTATTATTAATTTGAATTGACGTGTTTAATATATATATATGTGTGTGTTTGTGTGGTGTGTTTGTGTGTGTATTTGAACGATTCAATTGACTTCCAGTTGTAATTATTGATAATGCTAAGAGATATATGAGCAAAAGATATTTATTATTTGAATTTCATAGACTAAAAAAATAATTTTGAAACAGAAGGAATCCAATTACCGTTAATTTATTTGTTATAATTGATAGCGTGATTTTTGAAGAGCTGTCTGGCGGTTTATGACAAGGATATACATGGAAGATTTTACAATCTTGTATGATTATTTATTTCAACTGTTACAAACCCTTAATTCCAATAATTTATCTGCTAATTAATACCTATTTTAACATCTATATTTTATGAATAAACCTGAACAGGATTGGCCATGTTCATCAAGTTGTCGCAGATTAATAACAAAAATTAATTAGCGGGTTTTACGAAAAATTAAATCAGAATTTATTATTGATTTTGGTTAAATGACGTTTTAACCCCATTTTTGTCTTATAAATAGCTAGTCATTTTCAACTTTTAGATCATCCAAGTATCTCATTCGCTCAAAAACATTTTTTCTCTCAAAGTTTTGTGAGGAAAAACTTTCTATCATTCTTCTGGTGCTAAGAGAAAAGCAGTACTTGAATTCCCTCTTATCCATGTGGAGACGATACTTATTATCACTTTATTACTTGTTTGATTATGTGTACTTGTACATATTTGCATATCAAATTTAATACACCCACAAGCACAACACAATGAAACATCTAGTGTACCCACTTGTGTATTTACTTTTGAAGTTAATATTGATTTTACCGGTTGCAAACCACATCAGTGGAAAAAATCTTCTCTACAATGCACTTTTATAAAGAATCGATTGTGCAACTGTATAGTAGATCAATGACTTAATGATTGCTTAGTTACTTTTATTAGGAAATATATATTTGATAATGCAAACAATGAAAAAATAATACAGCGATATCAAACATGAGGATTAGAAGAGAACAACTTTAAAATTTATTTTTAGATGTATTTTTGGTTGTAAGGATTCATATTATAATTAAAATGTTCATAGTATTTTTTTATTCAAAATTTTTTGTATTGTTAATATATACACGTGCCTACCCCAAATTTTTTTTCTTGATCCACCACTGTTTGTACCCTTAAAATTTTTTAAGTTTGTCACTCTTAACATAAAATTATGTGTCTATCCTTGATTGTTGTTACTTCATTTTCTTTGAAAGTAACTAAGAAGAAAGATAGAGAGATAAGATTAAAGAAAGAAGTAAAAAACGAAAAAGAACGATATGAATGCACGAAGAGGACATTGACGAGTCTCATGTTATGTGGATGATAGAACGTGTTGAGATTGTAAACAATGCAAAAGTTATTAGTGGCAATTAGCGATGAGATGGTATGATATCATTACTTTTTCTAACGTGAGCATGCCACATTAGTATCTTTGTTCATATGTACTTATTGAGTAATCTTCGGGGGTGGTCGTTCATTGATTAACGATTTTCATCTATAAAGAGGTCTTTTACTTCAAAGTAAAACGTTTGAGGTTAAAATATTCCATAAAAATAATAAGACTCAAAATAATTATTCAGTCTTAAAAACATTTTTTTGACATTTTGATGTTATTACTATTGTAGGGTACACATCACACCTAACATGAAATTTAATAATAAAGTTATTAGTTTTGATTTAAGATAAACTAAGGTCATAATTTAAGGACACTCAATGTAATTAATTCTTATAAAATTGAAAACAATTATTTTTTATTAAGATATATGGCGTCATTATATGATTCAATTTAAAAGTATTAAACTTGTTGTTTATGTTGGGAGACGAATTTATAAAATTCTAAGTGATGTGAACTTATAAAATTTTAAAGGGTAGAAATAGATTTTCAATTGAAAATACAAAACAAATATTTAAAATATATAAAAACTCAAAATTTTTAGAAGGACGATTACCCTTACTTGCTCTTCCCTCAATCCATCCCTACATGTAAGTTACTCCAAAAGCATGTAGCACTTCAATAGATAGAATAAAACTTTAGGTACTAAAATTTGAAGAAAAAAAATTTAAAGTACGGATGCAATATTAAAAGATTTGGTATAACTGTAGTGATATATTTGTGTCGTTGTCCCTTTACAAAACAATCCAAGTCTATTTTTTTTATTAAGCTAAGGTGAATATAAAGTAGTATATACTATAAATATTTTCAACCATTTGACAATGAACTCGCAATCACCTTGTCAATGCCAACTCTAAGGGGGAGCACCCTGAAAAACCGCTCAGAGCTCCCAATTTTTTATTTATAATTAGGGCGATTAGATTTTATAATTGCATAAAATTTTAGTTTTTGACCCTATTTTTGATCCTCTTTTTTTTTAATTTATCTTATTTATTCATTCAATTTTGAATTAAATTTAATCATATTTTCCTCTTTCAAATCTTACTCTTCGATTTATCAAATATTCTTTAATTTTTAGTCTTCTTCATTCTCAATTTTACAATAAAATAGTATACAATTATTTTCATTTATTTATTATTCAAAATCAAGCTATGTATCATACATGCATTCAATTTTTTTATATTTATTCTCTTTTAATTGTATTTAAAATGTTTTCTTAATAGAATAATAAAATTAATATATTTTCACAAAATTTAATTATTTTTCTATGATTTATGTATGTAATATTGAATTAATCGTTCAAAGTAATAAAATATACTTTCATTTTATAAAGTTATATTTTTAGTTTTAACTCGGGGCCTCGAAAATGTCTGGGACGATTCTGTCTGCTACAATCTTTGGTGCTCAAACTCATAACCTCTAACAATAATAATAATTAATTTAATCACTACGCTAAGTCGGTCGTGCAAAACAATCCAAATTTTGTTCCCATGAAATTATCTGTATTTCCATTTATAATTTGCAAACCATGGTCAAGTTCCCACACGGTTTCTAACCCTTGTTAATCTGTAGATCTCAACTCACCTAATACGTTTGGCATGCACTCAAAAAACGCGTTAAACCCAATTCGCGCGCCCTTTTATCCCATCCTACGTGGCAACTCATTTTATACGTGCTCCCGCGTACACAGCCTCTGGCCTGTCTTCCACTGCCACGTGCCGGTTTATTTCCTCTCACTGCTTGTCACATTTCGCATTCGTCACCGGTATTATCACCGGCTCTTGGTCCGGCCCCACCCTAAAGTGACTGCAACTTCTACGTCAACCTCAGCGTAACCTGCACGATCTTTAAGCGCTGCAATTATATGAAATTATTTAATCAGATTTTTCTCCTTCAGTTGGATTTTTACACACTTCTTTAGCCTTTTTTTTCTCAGTTGGAGTGAAACAGAGGGTTTTGTTTTGATCATTACGCTTCTCTTATTCTCTGAGGTAATTTTTCGATTTAATTGATAATGGTTTTTTTTAATTTTTGGATTTTTGTTCAAATTCATGAAATATATATGATAAGAAAGGCTTTATAGGGGAATTCAATTAGAGTAATCAATATGTCATCATCTGAATCTGGGAATTTTTACCTTTTTCTTTTGGTTAACCTTGAATCTGCAACTGAAAAATGTTAGTATGATTCAAAGAAGGCAAATAATTTAATTGTAAATGATTTTTATTATCACTATTGTTTTCAGTTATGGAGTTTTTTATGTATAGATTTTGGTAGATTATTGGATAGAGTTGGTGTTGTGATTGGGGCTTGTTGATAATGGATTCTGCAAGGAGCTGGTTTAAGAAACTCCAACATAAGAATGAAAAAACAGAAAATTCACCAAAGAAAAAGAAAGACATGGAAAATGCGAGGTACGCACATAAGCCTCCTATCGACGGGGCTGAAGCACCTTCAACTGCCACCAAGCAGAAGGTTGCAGCTGCGAAGCAGTATATCGAGAACCACTACAAAGCTCAAATGAAGAATTTGCAAGACAGAAAGGAGAGGTAATTTGCTAAACACTAGCAATAACATAGCACATCTTGTCTGAACAGACTGCCTTGCGTATTGTAACTTAGCACGTCTTGAATTAATTTTTGCAAAAGATATGTTGTGCTCCGCTCATATTTTATGTTTTGACACAAACAAAATATGATGGTTCTAACCTAGTGGACTTTGCCGAATGTTTCAGTTTCCATTTGAGTTCATTTGTTTAAACAAGGACTTTCGATTAATTATTGAGACTAGGTTGGTTTCACGCTGGTATAGAATTTCTATTTCATTATTGTTTCTCTTGATGTGTTGTCATTTCGGTTGAACTGTTTTTCCTAACAATCATATCTATGGAATATAGACGTTGGATGCTAGAGAGGAAACTTGCTGATGCTGAAGTTACTGCAGAAGAGCAAATGAATATGCTTAAGTTTTTAGAGAAAAAGGAAACAGAATACATGCGACTTCAAAGACACAAGATGGGTGTTGATGACTTCGAACTTTTGACCATTATAGGGAAGGGTGCATTTGGGGAGGTCTTTTGTTGTTTTCTATTTGAATCTTACTTTTATTATCAGTAATATTGTTTCTTATTCTAGTTTATGATTATATATGCTTTGCAATGCAATATGTAATATCTGTCTCCAATATGCTTCACCTCCTGGAGGTAAAATATTGTTTAGCTCTCGCATCATTGCCCCCACTATTTTCATATTTCTTGTCTAGTGGCAAATTACAGGATACTGCATTAATTTTTTTTTTCATTTCTGGTTCTGCCGTCAATGTTCAGGTAAGGCTTTGTAAAGAGAAAGCTACTGGCAATGTGTATGCCATGAAAAAACTCCAGAAATCAGAGATGCTTCGCAGAGGCCAGGTACTGTTTGGATTGTAATATTTTTTCGTGATTTCTTTACACTACCTTAGAAATAGAGAAGTTGAGTTGAGGGAGTAAGGGTTTTATTTTACTCTGTTTGAGAGTTTTCTATTAGTCTAGGGAGGGGGGGGGGGGAACTCCCATTTTTTTTTTTTTTAAATTTCGTCATATTGGGAGGATAAGAGCAGAGTATTTTATTTCAACAGTTTCTGCTTGTGATCTTCCCTTCACTCTTCAAATCTTTTATTTTAGTAATGTTTTGAAATAGGGATACATTGTAATAGCAACAAATTGTTGCTAATGTTTTTTGCTGTCATTTTCCATAGAAGATATTGCAGTTAAAGGTAACAGGAACAGGCTTAGATTGAGAAAAGTAGGAACATAAAATTGGACTTAATTGATTGGATATTTAGTTAAATTTTGCTTTGAAGTATGAAGGCATTTTCTCCTGCATTATTCTTTCTCACATTTGAACCTCTACCTGTCTAGGTTGAGCATGTCAAAGCAGAAAGGAATCTCCTTGCTGAAGTTGACAGTGAATGCATTGTCAAGCTTTATTGCTCATTTCAAGATGATGAATATTTGTATCTTGTAATGGAATATCTCCCTGGGGGTGACATGATGACGTTACTGATGCGGAAGGATACCTTAACTGAGGATGAAGCTAGGTTCTATGTTGGCCAGACTGTTCTTGCAATTGAATCCATCCACAAGCACAACTATATCCACAGGTTTTCTGTTTTTCTTTATCATGTTCCCATGTTATATTTTTTATCTGCATGTTAAACAATCTAAAATTCTCCCACGGTTTGGGTGTGGAATTTTTTACCACTATTGTACTTTCTTCTTTTAGTTTGTTATAGCATATGGAAAGGAGGAGTTCACTGCTCTTTGATGAAAAATTTTCTTTTTACTAGTCTCCATACAAATTTTGAAACCTTTATAATTATATATTTCTGGAAAGAATATTCTTCATATCTTCCCTCTATACCTCCTGTAGACACAGAAAGAAAAAGAAGAAAATATGGTATTTTCAGACATCTTTACATTCCTTTTATTTTCTTGATAGGGACATCAAGCCTGATAATTTATTGCTTGACCGTAATGGCCATATGAAACTCTCGGACTTTGGATTGTGTAAGCCTCTCGATAGTAGTAGCTTTCCTGACTTTATAGAGGATGACCATGGAGGGGGTAGACATTTTAAATCCTCAGTGGAGATTGGTAGACATTCTAATTTTCCTACGACACCTAGGCGGACACAGCAGGAGCAGTTGTCACATTGGCAAAAGAATAGGCGAACATTGGTATGTTTTTTTCTTCCACAAGTGGTGTTTATATGTTGTAAAGAAGCTTTGGTTAATTGCTAAGATTGCATGTTGTTTGTGTTTTATTCCTTTCTTTCAATTGAAATGTAGAGGTATAGGACTTGTATACCATTCTTTTACCAAACTTTTGTATGCTTCTTAAGTTAGCACTAAATGATTTGGTAGTCATTTCAATGAATTGACTAGCTCCTAGGATTCCAAGATTGGACCCCCTGCTGTAAAGGGGCAATTTAAAATTCACCTCTTCCTTTGTCTCTCCCCTCTGGTTCATATTTAGGACCTGCCCATTTGTGTTATTTCTATCTATACTGCAAACTCATAGATATTGCTAATGCTGATTTTTCCTTTAACCGTGGCCAGTGAAGCTATAGAAAACTAAAACAAATAAAAATATTTTTTGCGTGTACCTGCTTTGATTTTTTTAGTACAACTTATAGGATTCAATAGTCAATAGACTAAGAAAACTTATTTTCTGGAAGAAAAAAAAAGCTGTATACATTTTCTTTTTACTGAAACTGAAAAAATATTGCTTGAAAATGCTTCTTGGTTTAAATGTTTTCTTTCCAGAACATTAAAGGTCTATATTTTGTTTAAATTTCCATATTCACCTTCTTAAGGCACTTCTCATGTTTAACTTTCTTTTTATAATGGTTTTGCAATGTTTCTTATAGGCTTATTCAACAGTTGGTACTCCTGACTACATTGCCCCAGAAGTTTTGTTGAAGAGAGGATACGGGATGGAATGTGATTGGTTAGTCTGTTGTCTTACCTCTTACATTCTTTTAATCTTCTTTGTTCATATATTCTGAAAGATTCTCCCTTAGGTGGTCGCTTGGGGCAATTATGTTTGAGATGCTTGTAGGATACCCACCTTTCTACTCTGAAGAACCTTTGTCGACATGTAGGAAGGTAACTGAAGAAGTTGACTTTGTGCTTCTGTTTGCTTAGATATGCATATTATGAAGCTTGTAGCACAAATGAAAATCTTATGTTCTTTAAGGTTCAATGATTCCATATCTGCTTGATGCTGAACAAGATGAGCAAGTAAAATTGCTTTTTGTTAACCAAGTTGGGTAATCCTGAGTTAGCAAATAAATGAATCAACTTGGGTTTAGCAAAGGCATCAGTTGAAATAATTTTGCACTGTTCTGCATTCTAGTAATTATTTTTTCTAAGTCTCTACGGCTTTTAACCTTGATGACATACAGATGCCCTTAAAAAGTTATCACCTGGAAAGGACTGAGATGCAAAATGGTCTGCATTCTGATATATGAACCAGAAGATCCAACAAATAAAATCATGCATCTAAAGGGGAATCGTAATATCCATGTACTGGCATTAATTGTTTCTCTAAACTCAGCTCACTCGTTAGTTTTGTTCTTTATTTATTTGTTGCATATGGGGAAGTCTATGAAAGTAAAGTAATAGATCCATAAACCTCATCTACCTTAAAGGAAGGCCTAGTCTTGGCTATTCATTTGGAAAAATGGTCAATAGATTTAATATCATTTCATTCAAATTTATGTATTGCGGTTTAAGATAGCGCACTCAGAGTCGGATGTTTCTTTAGAATTTAATCGTTGATGATCTACTGCTTTATTGACAATTATGAACAAACTAATATCATGAGTGCAGATTGTAAATTGGAAAACCCATTTGAAATTCCCTGTAGAAGCCAAGTTATCTGCTGAAGCTAAAGATCTTATCTGTAAACTTCTTTGCAATGTTGAGCAGAGACTTGGAACCAAAGGGGCGTATGAAATAAAGGTCAGAATAATTGATTGCCTTTGTCTTTTTCCGTATCAAGGGCAAGAATGACACTTGTTACTGACTATCAAGTTCATCACATCAGGCACACCCATGGTTCAAAGACATTGATTGGGACATATTATATCAAATAGAAGCTGCATTTATACCAGAGGTTAACGGTGACCTGGATACACAGAACTTTGAAAAGTTTGAAGAGGTTAGTAGTAAAGGTTTATCTTACTGGGTTATTGTGGTACTATTCAATCCGTGCAGATGATCATACGGAGTAGGAAAATGCTTTGATTATTTGAATTTGTACTATGTTAACTTTTGGTTTATGTAGTTTTATGCACTTCAAATTCCAGTTTCTTTCTACATGCATTCAATAATTTGGGTGCTATCAAGCTAGAAATTCCTAGTTTTACTTATCAGCAAATGTGGGTTATACTTGCATGAATATTGTTGTTGAGATGTTCTGCTTAATTGTCAATTTATAATCCATTTTGATTTGGCAAGCTGCTAACGGAAACCTTTGTGTTTGCACATTGCCAACTTGGTTCTATGCTTCATACATGCCTTAATTTTTCTTTTTTTTCAATTTTCTATAATTTCATTTTCTGTTTCTGTTTTTTTCCTTTCTTCCCATATTTTGCAAGATGTTCATTTATTTTGGCATATACAGGCTGGAGCTCAAGTACAAACTTCAACAAAATCAGGTCCCTGGAGAAAGGTAAAACTTTTTTCAACAATCTCCCTGTTGGCTAGTATACTCAATAATTCATTTTCATTTTCAGTTATGTACATATGTATATATTTCATTTTCATTTTTAGTTATGTACATGTACATATATATATATACACACACACACACACCGTGCCCTTTCTTTTCAAGTTTGATTATTTCTTTACTGAAATGATGTTTAGTTGAATGAATATTACTGATAAGACATAAGACCAAAAGTTAGCACTTTATTCAGTTATTGTCAATATTTTTCATGCCCTTGTCGTTAATTTCTTGAAATTATTTTACGTTCATAAATTTTTTGCTATGTATATCATCTCTCACCATTTTTGATGGATGATAAATGTCGTATCCTACGGATAAGATATGATAAAGAGTGAAGAGGAGCAGGTGATCTTATAGTATCTTATGTTTGGTCTGGAAGATTAAAAGATACTAATGCCGTTGTCTAATGTAGATATAAATTTATAATAAGATGACAAATTTTCCATTGGTCAAATTTATCCCCCCTTCCAACATTGGCAGGTTAAATAAATTCAAAGGAAAATGTAAGTTGAAGGAGAAAATATGAACTGCAGAATTAATATTTTATTGACTGGGCATCCATCCTATAATCCTATCCCTTATCCCGTTGGACAGTTTTCTTGTCCATATTTTATTCTTGAAATAATAAATGATCTGCTTACTGTCAGATGCTCTTTTCAATTAAATACCGAATATTTTATGTTATGGTTTTATCTCATATCTCAGTTATCCTTTTTTATCAAATTTATCCTGAAAACTACAGATGCTTTCTTCAAAGGATGCAAATTTTGTCGGTTACACATACAAGAATGTTGAGATTGTCAAAGAGCATCATCTTCCAGGCATTGGTTTGTTTCAAGAACAATAGACTTTTTTTTTTTTTTGGTTCCACTGCTTGATATGATTTTGATAAGAAGCTAAAGGATTCAGAATTGTTAACAATTATTTGTCACTGAAACCAATTCCTCCTCCAGTGAAAAACTTCTTTTTAAGTCGAATATTTTATCATCCTTTCCCCCTTTGAAAACCGCTGACATTATATTTGTATGCATGCAGCTGAGGTGAAGAAGAAAAGCAATACACCCAAGAGACCTTCTGTGAAGTCGTTGTTCGGTAACGTGTTCGCTATTACCATTAACTACGGCTTGTAATTTCTTGTTTGGAGTCATTTATCGAATGCTTGCCTTCCTCTTTGCAGATACTCCAGGACCTCCCGAACCCCCAACGAAGGGGAGCTTCCTCAACCTTTTGCCGACTCAACCAGAGGTACCTGAAAGCGCCTTGTCTGAACATCAATCTACTAGAACCACACAATATCCTCGGAAACCTTTTCAAAGATAGCAGAATGGTGCTATATATAGGTAAACTATGCAAATTGTGGTAATGAGAATCTTCTCCATCGTTGCAACTCGGCAATGGGTCATCGTATGCTTTAACACTAATCTTTGTTCAATCAGATTTCGAAATAGCATATATATGATCATTCATGCTGCATCGTATATAGATGATGTAAGGAGTTAGCGTTCTTCCTATAAATATTTTTAAGCTATGCTTTCGGAATCGATTATCTACCATGTTTGTATTCATGTTGAAGAAATGGCCAAGGCAGAAGATGAACTGATTAGTGTAGTATATAGGTTGTTGATTATTTACTCACCAGTAGCTGTAGAAACAAATTATACAAAATATAATCTCATTATTTTCTCTCTTTTTTTCATTTATGCATTGATAACTAAAATTAGTACTTGTACTTCAACTACCAATAGCAATCAGTCCGGCAGTGATCAAGTAGGTTAAAGATCGGGTCTTTGAGGTTTTGTTCAACCCGCTAACCCGGGTTCTGCTTAACGTCGCCCAACTTGCTCATCTTGAGCTCCAACGTATCAAGCTTCAGCTTGAGCCGCGGGACTAAGGGCGTTCATTGTTTTGTTTTAATCGAATTAATCGACTGAATCAAAATTTAGTTCAGTTAGTCTGTCAGATAATTAGATATTAGATCAGTTAATAGTTGTGAATTTTTCAAAGTTTGATTAGCGATTAATTTGGTTAAAAAATTACAATAATTTTTTAAATTTTACCTCGAAGTTCTATCAACTTTGAGCTCTGGTTTTCTACGATTATGTTTCTTATTTCATTTTTGCCACGTTGGTGTCTGCCATGTCCTCTCTGGTTTCATCTATGCCAATGTTATTTTATGTAGTAAAATGATCAAACAACCATGAGCAATCAGCTTATAATGTTTGGTTAATCCTTTCAGGAAACCAACCAAGTCGATTTAACTTTAAACAAAATGTTTCCAAGTGAGAAAAAATGACTTCAAACAATAAAGTGGCTAGTGGTGCTTAATGAGTTGAGTAGCTCGAGCTTGATTCATTTAAAGCTTGACTCAGGATGACTTAAACTCGAGTTTAACTAGAGACCTTAACAAGTTAACTTAAACAAAGTCTAACTTGACTCGATAAGTTCGGGAGCAACTTGTTAAAAATTTTTTTATAATTTTTTAGTTGTTATCTTAAAACATTATTTTATTTAAAAAATTATTAATTTACCAATAGATAATAAAAAGGATGATAAATTACTAACCAATTAATTTTCTAGTAAATAATTAAAAATGCTAAAGTATTAATTAATAATTAATATTTTATTACATCTAAAAATCAAATCTTAATTATAATTTTAATGTATTTATGGATTGTTATTTTGATGTTTAGATTTTTAATTTATTTCATACGCTATTTTGATAATGTTTTAGTTAAATTTATTAATTTGTTTATATAAAGTTCTAATATTAGTAGAATTTTCTTATAATTAAAAAATAAAATAAAAAATCAATGAGCTTAATGAGCAACGAGCTTAATGAGCTTAACGGGTAACGAGTTGAGTAACAAATTTCTGAACGAGCACGAGTCGAACAACAAATTTTCTTAACGAGCATGAGTCGAGCAAAATTTTAATGAGCTTAATGAGCAACGAGTCTAGTCAAGCAACTAAATTTTTTAACGAGCATGATTCGAGCACTGCCCAACTCGCGATCGACTTGCTCGATAAACACCCCTAAACTAGAGGAGAATAAAAGAATTGTTTTTAATTGTGTTTCAACCTAGAAGGTTGACATGATATTTATAGGTGTTTCACATTGTAAACTATTGGAAATTTTTAACCTAATGAAACATTTAATTAATGAGAATCAATCAATTTTCAAAATTATTGTATCGATTAAAAGAAACTTTTAATATTTGTCATTTTAATTCCAAAATAGAATTTTGAAAAGATATGCTCTATTTATGGAAAAATATTTCAAATTTGGGTAAAATTATATGCAAGCCTACAAATGGATCAACTAGTTCGTATATTCACGTTACACACGTCATGCACGTCTGCACATTTACGAACCAATAATTGATTCCACATTTTCCTCAACAACGTTTGGATTAGTTTCACATTCAAAATCAAAAAAATATCGAATTTTTTCAACAAAAATATTTCTTCCTAACTCTCCATTTATCTTTTTTCTCAATTCCTTTGAATGATTTTCTTATTTCTCCTTATTTTTCTCTTGAAATGTTTTAAAGTTTATGGAACATAATTAAACAATCAAAATTATTGCATAATGCTCGAGTCAAGTAGCCTTTATGGTAAAGGAATTGTTATTATTCTTTAGGGACCCGTGTTCGAACACCATAGATGTCGGGGTGAGCGTTCAATATCGAAAGGTTGAAAATTATCTTTGAACATATACTACCTTGTACTTACCCCAGATTAATAATAAAATTTATTGGATAATACAAGTGTATAAAACAAACGTTAAATATTCAAAAAAAAAAAAAAGGAATGAAGGAAAAATGTAATATAAGATTAAAGATAAAATAGATGATTGAGGAGTTGATTTCATCTTTCAAGCTTATCCACATATATATTAATAAGACAAATGAGTCATCACCCTTTCCCACTTATTCTTATTGTTTTTTAGTCAAATTATAAATTAAAAATCTTTCAAAATTCACAAAATTATCTATTTTTTTCAAATCAAAATTCTCATCAACACAATCAAGGTCAAGGAATGTCCAACGTATTAATTCAAAAATTATGTGTCCTACAAATCATATTTTTAAAAAAATAGTGTCAATGATGATCAAATTCTAAACTTCAAATTTTAAGAGCATTATAGACATAATTTGATTATGGATATCCAAAAGAAGTACTATAAATTAAATAAATTGGTGTGGATATTTATAATATAAAAAAAGATATGAACTATTCTTTTTATTCCAAATAAATCATTTATTTATCTCTATATACTCATTTACTTTATGTATCTATCTTTAATTTGTAAACTTTTTGATTATTATTCATCCTCTATCTTTAATAGTGTCAATGAGAATTATGTTTTTTTTTCTTTACATTTTTCCTATTCGACTTTTACTTATTTATATTTATGATTAAATTTCTTTACTCTAAAAGTATTCTTAAGAATAACAAAAAAAATTATTTTTGTCTTCTTCCTAATTTTTTCAATGAAAAATATTAAATTTCATATAAATATATGATATATATATATATATAAACAAAAAATCATAAAGTATCGGACGAAAATGAGTATCTACAATATATATATCGTCCGAGACTTTATGATTTTTTGTTTTTATATTTACAATATATAAAATATAAAATATATGATAATATATAATATATAGTTTTGTCAAAAAATAATTTATGGTTTTTGAAAATATATAGTCTAGTTTTTGAAAACATATTATATAGTTTTTTAAAAAAACATATAATATATAGTTTTTGAAAATATATAGTATAGTTTTCAAAAAACATATTGTTGTATAGTTTTGAAAACATATAATATACATAGTTTTTAAAAAACATAAGTAATATATATATATATATTGAAAACATGTTATATGATTTTGAAAATATAATATATTATATAGTCTTTTTAATATATATATATATATATATATATATATATATATATATATATATAGCTTATAATTATTATTATTTATTTATTTTTTCATTTTTAGGGTCCAAATAGTCCAAATCCAATCCAGCAAGAGAGCCCAACCGAACCATGCCAGCCTGACCAAGCAAAGCAGGCTTGGTTAGGAAGAAATGGCCATACCCAACCCAAGTCAAAGACGATTTTACTCTAAACTTTGACACCGCTCAGGGGGGGCCTCGAATGGCGCGTGAGGACCATGCACCAACGTTAAACCAGCCACTTCGGTGCCAATCAGTAAAATCACGATAGATCCGAGAAAAACCAAATGGGAACACCCTCTATTCTCCAGCAATAACACAACGAACATAAAATCCCGTCGAAAACAAGATTACAATAACCCGAGAAAATTGGTACATGGGGAATGACCCTGGAAAATCTCTCCGGTCATGGCTATAAAAGCCTCTGCAAAGCACCATCAAAGACGAAAATGAAGAAGCGTCGATCAGCAAAAGAAATCAAGCAAAGAAATCATTCGGGCCACTAAAAATCACAAAAAACACATTAAAGTTTCGATCTTGCTCGAGGAAATGAATAGATGCCGGAGCTAGGAAGGACAATGCCGAGAAGTGGAAAGGGCTCGTAGGAAAGGTAAAAAACCTGAAAGTTCTTTCGTAGATCTAATTCAATTGGGGGGTTTTAGAATAATCGGGGCTCGGTTTTAGCTTTGGGGTAGCGAAAGAAGTGTTTTGAATGATGTTTAGGTTTTTCGGCCACCGAAGGCAGTGGCCGAAGCATTGATCGGGACGGTGGGGCTTCGTTGGAGTGTGGTCGGCCTATGACTGGTTGGGGGAAAGGGTTGAGAGGATTTTGAGAGTGAGGGAGAGCTGTTTTTATTGAAATATGTGAGAAAGTGTTTTTCCCCTAATTTTGGGGGTATTTATAAGAGGGATCAGAGTGCAATTATAAAAATTTTAAATTATTTCTATAGCCCTTATTATTTTGATGTGTAATTCATTTTGGTCACATGTTGTAAATTTTCCCTTAAATTTTGAATTAATTCAATTTAATCATTGTTATATTTTTATATTTTTGCAATCAACCCCCTAACTTCTTATTTTTTTCTTGCAACTTTTAATTAATATCAATTTAATCCTTGATTTTTAGTTTTTTTTCAATTTGATCCTTTTAATTTAAAATTTTCTTTTTATTAATTTTCTTTTTATTTTATTATTTAATATTAATTTGGTTTATTTTTTAGGACAATTTTAAATCTATCAAAGGTAAGTAATTCGGATCAAACTTTTAAATTTTAATTTGAATTTTAGTTTTTGCAATTAATGAGAAATCAAATTGGTATCGAAAGGGCAGTACATGGGTGCTAATCCTTCCATGACTGTAATCGACTCCTGAATCCAACAAACTTCTGGTAAAACGTAGATCAGATAAAAGGTAAGTTAAGGTGTCCGATCAACCTAATTTAAAATGATCGGTGGAAGCTCCAACACACATTAATTCAAGTCGAAACCCGATTCTGGGCCCACCTGAAGGATAATTACGATAGGTTGGCGACTCTGCTGGGGAAAGGAAAGTGAGTCAGGCCAAAATTGATTTCTGATAGTCTTTTTAAGAGAAAATTGTAAGTTTAAATTTTAATTTATCCTTTTGATCCTTTTTATTTACC